AGGCGGAGAAAATTTTACACAGATCCGTCGTCGACAAGCGCCTGACGGTGGGCGGCGCGGCATACGTTAAACCGCTGGACAATTTTCAAATTTTGAGATAATAATGTGAATTTAATAACTATATGTACGGCTTCAGTTGAAAACCAAAATTTAGTAGGTTTTCTGTACTACATAAAGAGAAATGTCTCCATATAAAAATTACGTGCAAAGTTATATATTTTATTCTTAAATAATTCGTTTCAAACTTTTATTTGGCCTGTTTTCAGGTACCTATGTGTATGGTATATTTTTTGTAAGACCGTTATTTAATAGTAATACCATTTGATATAGCAAAACAGTTTTTCCCGCTTCTCCTCCGGTGACACGCCTTAATCAACACTCAGTTGGAGGCAGATAACTAGCGAGTGTGAAAGATTGTCTAGTAGGATGCCACCTAAGCGTCCACCTAAGGTAGATTTATATAATGGGTACCTAATTTTCGAAGATTTCTAAAGTGGCTTGCAACAGCTTATAAGGGTGCGTACAAATCTGGCAAATGCGCCTGCTTGCGAAAGGCTCACGATCTGCACACGTGTATTAAGTAGTGCGATCTGTTCGTGCGCAGCTCGCGCGCTTCTCGCGAGCCATCATGCGAGGCTTGCATGAAATGTGATTGCAAAGACGCTCCTAATTGCACGCATGCCGCGGGCTCATCGCACATGCAGCGTATTCGCCAAACGTGTACACACTCTAAGGGTCGTATTCCAGAACTCTACTAAATACTCAAGTCAGGACTTGAGTATTGCAGTGAGCACTGAAAATCATTCTCAAGTCCTTGCCATTAGAGTCGTATTTCCAGTGCTTGAAATCATACTCAAGTCTGGTCAAGTCTTGACTTGAGCATTGAGTAGAGTTCTGGAATACGACCCTTAGAATTAAGTAATACTTCAATATTAAAAACACTCAACTTTATAAGTAAAGAAAACACCGAAAATCAAAAGGGACACACTGGAACAATTATTGTTTATAAAAAACGCTGCATCAATTCGCCCACCAGAACCAATATTATAATTTTACCTATTAGAATTACGTCTCACTTGCCTTATTAGGCAACAAACCATTCTAGTTTGCCTGTGCACCTGTGCATTACTAATTTACTCTCGCTCGTAAGTAGGTAAAGCTATTTTTGCTACATGCCCTCGTAATATAAATAGATACCTACGCCTATTTTTGACAATTGGTTATTAAAAAAATCCAGGGAAAAGGACTAAACCAAATTGTATACTTTTTTGTGTTGTTCTTTGTAATACCTCCAATGAACACTACGCCAACTTAATTTTTGGACCTGTTCTGTTTTCATTCTGTTTTTTGTTTCTTTAATTTTTATTTTTCACCAAATTCGTTACTTTGTTTTTGTTTTCGAATTAACTTTGTTGTTTTTATTTTAATTTTTTTCACAAATTCGGGGAACATATAATATTAGCAAATAAACATGGCTGTTTACAAAAGTAACAGAAAATTATCAAAAAATAAAGTTGGTGTAGTGTTCATTGGAGGTATCTACATAGATACATTAAATTTTTGTCTGATACATTTTGTCTTTGAGTATTGGTGAGGAACTTGAGAGTGTATTTGGATGTAATAATGTGTGAGAAGAACAATGTTCACTTAAAATATGTACATTTTTGGATTGTGATAGTTATTGAGTTGCAAATTAAGAGATAGTAATGTAATGTATTGTATTTTTTAGATGGGTATTTAATGATTTACGTGTTTGAGTTGAAACTTTACATTTATAATATGGATACATACCATGGACCAGTAACTCAAGAGGACTGCTAGTCTCCATAATACTACAGATTGTAGCTCTGAAAAAGATCAAAAATCCGTCTAGATGGTGCTGGTCAATAACCTGGAAGTAGTTTATTTTATGCAAATGGCCGTGGATATCAATTAATTCCGCTTTAATATTATTTAATATTATGTTTTTTATTCACATATTGATCATGACCTTAAATTATTTTCTAAACTTTAATAAATTGTGCGTGTAACAAACTAATTTCTAAATTTACGCTTCCTAATATAGGTAGATCGCGCTAATCTCAATAAAAATAAAAGAAGCCGGCACCATAAAATTCTTTTTTTTTAGGAAATGAAACTATTTTTCCGGATAGAGAATGAAACTATTTTTCCGGATTTAAATCGCGTATATTTGGACCTGTAAAGGGCCCGAAACTTCGGTTTGTTTGAAAAAACAAATATACGCGTATATATAATACGGAAAAATAGTTTCATTTCATATGTGTAACAATCGCGAAAACCTAAGAACTCGAAATTTTTCCGGATTTAAATCGCGTATTTTTGTTTTTTCAAACAAACCGACGCCGACGTTTCGGCCCCTTTACAGGTCCCATGGTCACGGTTGACTGAAAAAACAAATATACGCGATTTAAATCCGGAAAAATAGTTTCATTTCCTATGTGTAACAATCGCGAAAACCTAAGAACTACCTAAGAACCTAGGAAAGCACCATAACATAACAGTTGCAGTGCCACTCAGAGCTTTAAACGCCATCTGTGCAATAGTTGATTTCTTTGTCATCATTTGAAATTAGAGGTGGGCGATTAAACAAAAAGCACTTACAAAAGTTTGCTTTTTAAAATAAGCACATAAGCACGTTTTTTAATTTAACCGTAAGCGTTAATAACGTGCTTATGTTTCAAGTCTCGCCATCAATGTTTCCTAAACAAATTAATTCATCAATGTGAATAATAATTTTATATATAAAAATAAAACACATGTTTCACAAATAAAGTTACTTGTCTTAAAACCTTAAAAGCCTTCTTTTCACTATCAACACAACGTTATAAGCTTTTATAACATAAAAGTCTACGCGCTTATACGTTTTTCTAAACGGGTTTTGTAAACTTCAAACCAAAAAGCATTTATGTGGAAAGCGTTTAAAAATCACGCTTTTAAAAAAAATAGTACATCGTTTTAAAGTTTAAAAAATAAGCACTTTTTCCCATCACTATTAGAAATAGCTTTGACAAATTGCAACTTGCCAGCTTGCCAGTGTAAAACAAGTTGATACAAAAGTAGCTAGTAAGTTCTCATCGCGACATCTGGTGTCCCAATATGTAGTACAGTACATACCCGACTATGTTGTCATCTATCGCGATTAGCAGAAAGATACAAAAGTGAAAGTACAATGTTTGTCTCTTTCTGTCATTTACATTGTAACATTAACAAAAACGAACAATGATTACAAACTTGCAATTGTCTGGTAACATAGCTTTAGTCTAAAATTCAGGAGTCCCGGAGTCATGTTCAACATAACATTTGAAGTCATGAAGGTACTTCTCGCAATTCGACTTTAAGTAGTGTTTGTGTATTGTCGAATATTCCGGCGTGACTCCGACATTTGTAAACCGAGTTCGATGATTCTTTTTTTGGAAGAAAATATTCCACTTTTAAGTGTGGCAAATTAGGGGATGAATCCGGTTTATTGAATTTCACCCACTTTCGTTAACATATTTGATTAAAACTTGGCAAATAGATCTAATTCCAGGTCGGTTCTTTTTGTCTCAGTTGCAAAGTGAGCAAGATACTACTATGATAAGAGAACTTGAAACATGACAGACACAAAACAGTCAGGAGTTTTGTTTGAAAGTAAATATTGCTGTTGTGAGGTAGAATAATGTGTTATGTAGTGTATTTATGCCTCGAAAAACCGATTTGTCAAAGCAAGCCAATAGGAATCCTGTTACAAGAACTCTGTGCTATCAGAGTTTCACGTTTCCTATTGTTGGTGATGACGTTGTTGAAACAGTTATTGATTGTTAAATTTAAATTATACGTAAAAGTAATTACTTTTCAATACTTTTGCCTAACCTACAATGAAACATAGATATTACAACAAAAGATATTTAATTTTAATTATTATTAAACCCTTAATTATGTTAGTACTAAATTGGTAGGTATTTTAAATTTCTGGCCGCTTTGAAATAAAGTAAAATCGTTTTAGTGTAAGTTATAAGTTAGAAACATTTTTTAAGATAACTAAATTTAAAATTTTTGATTTTGTCTAATTGATTTTTATTTTGTTTTGCTTTAAATTTTGAAGAAAAAGACACTAACGATTTCTGAAAATTAAATTATTGAAGGAAAATTAAAATCAAGATCTGGCAATATGGTCGCATTAGACGTCTAAAGGGTGCGTTCCCATTATGTCGTGACGACAGATCGTCGTGCAGTTTAAAGTGTCGTGGCTTGTATATTAAAATGAAGTTTTGGTGAAACACGATTAACTGTCGTTCACGACTTTTTTGACGTTACGGCAACAGACTGTCGTGATAATGGGAAGAACTAGAACGACAGTCGTCAGATGATAAATAAAACGTCACGACATAAATGTGACGACAGATAATCGTATGATCTAGTATGACCAGCTAGACACGACAGTCGTTCAACACAGTCAGGATTGATAGTCGTGATAGGGAACAGGCTAGACGCGACAATCGTCCAACGATAAACAAAACGTTGCGACATAATGGGAATGCGGCCTTAGCCGGTACCGGAGGACGAAAAATTTGAATACTACTACGAGTATTCATTTGTTACCTTTTAGATTACTTTTGTATTCACTTTAAAAATGAACACAGATTCTGCCAGAAATTCATGTACTTTTCTAATATAAGTAGGTACTTTTATGCAGCGTCTATAACTATCGAACACATTTTTTTAAATGTCCCATGAAAAAAAACCATTTTATTTTAATCACCACGTACTTTGGCAATTTCTATGAAAACAATAAGCATTGAAAATTTATATATCAAATCGGCGACTGTTGTCAATAAGTTCGTTTCTGTTTACTTTTTAGCTTTACTTACTCGACATAATCTCGATTGGTTTTCTCACAATATTATATTGTATACTGTAGTACATATTCCGTACGAAAGTTGTAGCCAAAAATAATATTATTTTTATTTTTACCTACCAAATTATTTTCTTCGTTACAGATCAACAGCAAATACAGCGAGGATCTTGCACAGGAGTGCCTGGAATGGATCAGAGTGATCACCGGGGAGCCAGAGAATGTTTCTGGTGACATGGACAACTTCTACGAAGTGCTCAAAGACGGCACATTGCTTTGCAAGTGAGTTTTTTAGTATATTATTCCATGCTACCTGGATACTGGAAATAAAATCTTAGGTAGGCCTTATTAGTTTAACCTCCTGAGGGCTTCTAATTGAGGCTTGTAAAAGCGTGTCTGAAGCGCATAATAACTTTCATACAATATCTAGTCTTCAAAAGTGGCGCGCCTGTGGGACTGCAGCTGCGCTTCTAAATGTTGTAAGAAAATTAGTCGCGCGGTTTTAGCGCCACTGCAGCATTTCTATATCTATATCAGTATGCATCAAAATGTACATAATGTGTGAACTAATTCAGACCCAGAAATATTATTCCTAAGATCACGTACAGTTACATTATAATGAAAATATCGCATTCACACTTAGCGCTATATATATATAAAAAATACCATATATATATATATATATGGTATTTTTTATATATAATATCAAGTGACGTGACGAACAAATCGTGCACCTCATGGTAAACTACACGCCTGTTTATAACAGTTGCAGTGCCACTCTTTAAATCGCAAAGATGTGAGGGGCACTGCCAGTACGCCCGTCACCCTGACACATAAGTTGACAAGTCCTATGTGCCTGTTATTTCACCAGCACCCTTACCCTTCAAAATCGGAACGCAGTAATGCTAATATACTGCTTGGCGGCAGAAATAGGTAAGGTGGCTATACTTCCCTGGACGAATTCTCGCAGAAGGAGCTCTACTGCAGCTAAAAGTATCTAGAAAAATATGTTTTCCATACAAAACTGACGTGCATACTTATTTGGGCCTGAAGCGTGTAAATTGTATTTTGTAGGTACATTTAGTAAATGAATACTATATATAATACTATATATAGAAAAATAATTTATCTTTTTATTAGATATTGAAACAATGAACTAAAAGTACAATATATTCAACCATTTGTCAACTCAACCAATTGCAGGCGAAAATCGACAATTCGCAACCCCTTCGCTCCTGGTCGTAATAAATGTACCGAAATTCAGATCTAATTAAACTTGTCACAAATGTATTTATGTCTTTCAATAATTCATACTGCCTATTTATATGTACAGTTTGTACGTTACACAATGTTCAGTGTTACATACATTATCATACAATTTCGTTCGAATTGCGCCTATAAGTTAATAATCTCAGTTCAGAGTACTAAAAAAACCGACCTCAAAAGTACGTGGAATTTTTTGAAATCAGTTACCGGAAAGTGCGCAAACCCGGATTCGTTCCCTAGTTCGTCACTATACGGAACTTGACACAGGAGATAATAAAAATAGGTTCTCACTACTCTAAGTATATTGACAGGGAATAACGCCTTGATTTAGAGAATAGCAAAATCAACCATTAAAATAATTTCTCCTTGTAATAAAATTTAGGTACTATTTATAAAAATGAGTCTTCGTGCGTGAACAGCCACTCTTAGAGGTGGATGATTTTCTTCAAATTTAATGGGACCACTATGGAGGTACCCTCTTTCCAACAAAAAAAGAATTCTGAAAATCGGTGTATAAATACCGGAGTTATCGCGTAATATACATACTAAAAAAAACATACAGTCGAATTGAGAACCTCCTCCTTTTTTTGAAGTCGGTTAAAAAGAATACAGTACCTTGCACTTTCAGAATATTCAAATTAGTACGTTAAAGTGGCTTGTCCGTCTTGCAATCGCATAAAATACTAGATAATAAAAGCCCCAATATGCTAAAGAAGATTAAGGAATTTTACAGTAAGAAATAATTCTTAAATGAAAACGATGTAATGTAACGTACTATAACTATACCACCTGGTAATTATGAAAATCTATTACGTGCTTACCCCGAAAAAAACCCAGCGCCTGAAAAGCGTCACAACCAAGTTACGCCAAAAGCGCTTGCAAAATTTGTATTTAGTAGCAATAGAGCTTCTTATGAAAGAGTTAGTTCAGGGTAGTACTGCCACCAGTAGCGCCCGTCACCCTGAGACATAAGTTGACAAGTCCCATGTGCCTGTAATTTGACCAGCACGCAGTAATGCTTATATTACTGCTTGGCCGCAGAAATAGGTAAAGTGGCAGTACTTCCCTGAACGAACCCTTTCACAAGGAGCTCTACTGCTACAAAACTTTTCCAGATGTGGCCATACTGTTCTTTTGCCACTGTCAAATAGTCAGAGTTATGTGGTACACAGCTCAAATCTATCTGCCTCTGACATTCATTTCCTTATTACAGTGGGAACGAGACATTTTTTTCTGGTCAAAGTCTGTACATTTTGTTTTTCTAATAAATGAACGTTTCTGGTTCTCTACCAGTCATGGCTGAGTCATCACAATGTTATTATTTTCCCGTAGTATTTACTATAGGCACATGCGAATAAATAATACTTATTATTATCTATGTGTATACATCATTGACTTACAATTATATGGACGTCGGGTCCGCGCTAAAAAGTGTCCGCACTTGTAAGGCGCTAAAATCGTATACAGAGCGCGACACTCCGCTTTAGTCTTCATTTGTTCTACTGACAGCGCGATACTGCGATGACATTACAATTTAAATTTCGAATAGGTTGACTTGGGACATTTTTTTCGTGGTTTTTGTATTAGACCCGTCGTCCATTTATTTGTAAGTCAATGGTATACATAGTTACTAATCCATTTGTAATGTGTTTATTTAAAATACTACTGTGACGGTGTGACCTCCTTACACCGTCATCTCACCTTTTTGTATCTCTCCTCTCTCCGCTTGTATCCTATCATTTTTTATTTTACTTGTATTTAAATTTTAAATTTGAATTGTTCCATCTTCCTTCACTTTCTCATTTTGTTTTCGTACCACGGTCACTCCCTGCTCGACCGCCACAACAGTCGGAGCCGTTTCAAATTCCATCGCGTATAATCGCTAATTTTGGTTCTTTACTGCGTTTATAATCATTAAATAAGCTAAATCATGTGTAATAATTTATAACAGTCTACAGCCGTCTTGTACCTATATCTGTAATTCAGTTACTCGGCCCATTTAGGGGCTTTAATCATAAAGTGTAGGGAGTGTTTTATACTGTTGTACCTGTTTTTTTTACATTTACCTTTTGTTACAGCCCTTTCTTTTAACTTTACTTCTTTTAATAAATTTTGTAGACCGGAAGTTTCCCGTTTCATTGACGTGAACCTGTTCGGCTAGTTAGGGTTACAACTCTTTCACTACTATTAGAAAATATTCTTTGATTATTCATCTCCTAACTTTCTGTCCTATGATTAACTGAAAGAAATTGCTACTTAGCCCACCTAGGCCGCCTGACTTTCATTAGGTTATTCTAATGCCAATCTCAATCAAATGGAGGAGGTTTCGCAAATCGACTGTACAGTTTTTTTTGTATGTATGTTACGCGATAACTCCGTAAAATTCCGATTTTGATGATTCTTTTTTTGTCGGAAAGAGGGTGCCTCAGATATGGTCCCATTTAAATTTTAAGAAAGTATTCCACCTCTAAGGGTGGCAAACTAGGGGGTGAATGACTTTTGAGGTCGATTTTTTAGTACTCGATACTGAGATTATTGTAAGTAAAATCTGATGAATTATTAAAAGTAATGGAACAAAAGTTGTTTATAATATTAGTAAAAAGTCCTGCGTAATTATTAGTATTTTACAAATAACCCTGTTTAAGATTATATTTTAATTTTTTTTGTCAACATTGTCTACAGTCTCGTGAACAACATTCAACCCGGTACTGTGAAGAAGATCAACCAGTCCAAAATGGCATTTAAATGCATGGAGAACATTAATGCCTTCCTCGAGGCAGCGCGGCAATTCGGCGTGCCAGCCCAGGAGACCTTCCAGACTGTTGATCTATGGGAGAGGCAGAATTTAAATTCTGTCGTCATTTGCCTCCAATCACTTGGCAGAAAGGTAAGTTTTAATGATTTCAGTTTTAATTAAGAAATCACCTTTTTAGTAGCAACAGAGCTCCTTGTAACGAGTTCGTCTACAGAAGTACTTTCATATTACTTATTTCTGCAGCCCAAGCCGTAATATGAGCATTACTGTGCTCCAGTCTTGAAGGGTAAGTGTGCTGATGAAATTATAGGCACGTTGTACTTATCAACTTATGTCTCAGGGTGACGGGTGGAGTGGCAGTGCCCCTCAAATCTTTACGATTTAAAACTCTGTGGCATTTCAACTGCTATGGACAGGCGTGTCGCTTACCACCAGGTGCACAACTTGTCCGTCTCGTCATCATGAAAAAAAAAACAAAGTTTTTACTTGGATCCATCACATCTCCCTCAGGCTCAATCTGTTCGTCGGACAAGGGTACCCTGATGGAGGGCTAAGCCTTACATAACAAATTGGGTAACTTATATTTTGGTGGAAAAACTCCACCGCGCTATATGTAAATGCTCTCTCGATATGCGGAAGGATTAAAGGGGGTTTTCAATCTACCTGAGAGGTGCGACTTGAACGCTTGTAAGCTACGGTAAATACGTATTTCGGGTGGCAATAAAGTAGCTTTCGGTTCATGAAACTAATATTATAAATAGCTAGATAGTGAGAAGAGGAAAAATATTTAATTCGAAAGAATTATGAACGCATCCTGAAAGTTTCCTTTTTTTCTGATGTGGACAGCTGGAATTTTCTGCTCACCACAAATGTTTTTCCCGAAAAACGTAAACTAGGATCTTTTCATTTCGAATAAGCGTATAAGCATCTTACAGGGGAGTAACCTCTACCCTCGATCAGATCGGCACTTGCCAGGAAGTGAGATTTAAATATGAAAAAGTAGATATATCAATTAGTACTATTAAAAGTTGCCAGGTCTCTTATAATGAATCAATTTATCTTTATTATTATATCAATAAATTTTAATGTTCATATCCATCTTTCTTTTAAATATTTACATCTTTGAACTATTTGTGTATTAACTTATTTATTGTTTTAACATTCACACGACTAGCATTCATCGTCTGACACATATCCTCCCAACCTAATTTAAAAAAATTGTTTTGAGGTGTTATTCCTTTTGCCATCCTCTAAGGTTATTCCTTACATTTTCATAAACTAATAAAGATTGGTCTTAATTTTTTCAGGCTGGACAATACGGTAAACCTTCGATAGGACCAAAAGAAGCTGAAAAGAATGTACGGAACTTCTCCGAGGAGCAGCTGAGGGCCGGCCAAGGAGTAATCTCTCTTCAATATGGCTCCAACAAGGGTGCGAACCAGAGTGGTATCAATTTTGGCAACACAAGACACATGTAAATTCAAAGAAAAAGATTCAGCCTAGTTGTGTAACTTTCTCACTAAACATATAACCCCTGACATCAATTTCCGTGTCTATGCTTGCTAACGCGTATAATATAGAAACTTTTGTTCTTTTTATAACCGCTAGATGGCGATGTACAATTTACCACACTATTAACGACAATCTTACCTACAATCTCCCAAAGTAGTAAAGATGTTTTTTAATTGTTTATTCAATAAACAATTTTAGTTAATTTTTTATCATCAAACATTTCGTAACTCATAAACGTGAACATGTCTTTTTTTTTAAATAATAAATTTACAGTCGTCTCGCTCTGCGGGAAGAAAATAATAAATAAATAAAATAAAAATAAAATGCATTTATTTCGGACTACAATAAGATCCATAAAAATTATTACAGTAAAAACTTAAATGACCATGTTAGTACGTAAACTTAAATGAAGAGAGGACCAGTGCCTTAGCAGTCCACTGTCCCATCTGTGTGCAACAACTGTCAAGAGTTTGTGGCAGCTGTCGCGCACCCTACGCATTGTCGCGGCGCAGCGCTTGCGCAACGTCGCTTCGAACCCGTTAACGCTATAATAAATAATGGTCACGTTAAGTTCGACACTTTAGTGCTGGCATTGCGTCACAAATTAGGGATACTTAACTACGCCGTCGTCGCGTCGACACGACTGTCGACGCTGTGCGTGCGTTGGCAAAACGATGACGCTCAAAAGACGCTAGTATGAGGGGTCTCTTAAAGGTAAGTTTATCATGAAAGAGTTACACGACATCAAAATTACTGTGATCCAGGGATTTCGTATATATCACGGTTACTAATAAAAATTACAATTTAAGTAAGACAGTTACACAATTGGTGTCAGAAAAGATTAGCATTAAATAAGATAAAAACGTAAGTTTCTCCTAATCAATTTGGTCTATGAATAATCGTAGCCTCAAAATTTCTTGACATATTAATGTAGTAAAATATTAAAATGATAAATTACAGATTACGAGTTGCTGTACTTAAATAAATATTCTATCTTAATAGACTAATGACACAAGACTTCATTAAATGGACCACTTCAAATGTTGTGTAGGAAAAGAATTCCCATTTTTGAATCTCTAAATATTTTGTAATTGGTTAAAATAATCAAATACTTTTAACATTGTTGTTAAATAAGCATTTAATGTTTGTTGTAATGTATTAGTCATTCCCGGATCATTCCAATTGTGGAATTTATTTTTTTATTCTTTTAACTCTTAGAATTCCCAAATCGTAGTTTTTGTTCATTATTTATACTTATTAGACATTTAAGTTGGATAGATTTTTAATTATGTTCTAAGTAATTGTTTTATAAACCATAAGAATGTTATGGTGCAAATGAGAATACGCCTATTGTAAAGTGTGAAAAAGCAAAAGGTACAAATTATGAAATTTAAAACCTTCACTGATATTATAATAATATATGTACAGTTAAGAGCACATCAAGCTTGACATTTTGGACTTTGGACCGTTCTTATTGCAAGCGGTATAGAGTTAAATTTAAACCTTTAGTGTCAAGATTGACGTGCCCTTGACCCTGTACCTATCTGAGTACTAAAAACACTACATTGAAACGATAAAAAGTATTTTCATTTACACCCTCACGTAGTTATCACGATCGACTTGTAACATAATTATTACGGTAGGTAAAACCACACAAATCCTTGAATTTATAACGCACCTTTGACTATTTAAAATACTAGTCGTAAAAATGTAACGTTGTCTCAGCAATTGTGCCAATTTCAAACGCAGGTCTTCTCTTTTTGATATTTCTATTGAAACAGTACAATTACTAGAATTATAAATTTAACATTATTTTTGTAAAGAAATTAGATGTGCCTTTATACTCCAAAGGAGCCAAAACTCGAAAGATGTCTACCTATGTTGGCAAAGTTTTAGCACGACAAGGCGCGACCTGCGCGAGATCTCTGTGCCAGAATAGCAGTATCTCGCGCTTTATGATGCTCTCGCGCAAGTTGTGCAGTTTCGTGGTGGCCCTACTGGACATTTTTACTTATTCCAAATAATCGAAGCATTCCACGATAATAATTAACGTGTTAATAGTACACACTGTGATTATGGTTATTATAAATTCATCTATATTTTCTTATATTACACTTATAATAATAATATCTATATGACGATGCGTAATGTACGAATGTAAGTTTCACAGGTTACTGTGTCTGTGGAAGTACGTAGAATAAAATAAGTAATCTCTTATAATACAGTGAGTTTTATTCCTGTCACAGACCATTGAGTTTCCTTTTTTATTATTTGCCTTAACTGTACTCGCATAGCGTCTTCAAATTAGATCCTCGTAGAACTAAAAAAAATTACATATTTCATTAAGAAAGAAGATATCCTTAGAAGTCGTGGTACCACTATTTCGTTTAGTTGAGGTAAACGGTTATTTTATGGCGAACTGTATACGTTTTTACAATAAGATTCCGGAGCTTACATGTGTGTATTATCATTTTCTTACTTTAAAACCTACATTAAAAGTACTTAAATTGATGTATTAGATAAAGATATATGCAAAGACATGACTAGATTCACACAAATTTGACTCAAAGTGTATTATTCCATAGCATTCAAGTTCTTTTGAAAAGCAATCTAGAGTTTCTTGCTCGTTCTTCTCAAGAAAGTGAGCACAGTTAATGAGCAGTAGCTTAAAAAAGACCGACTTCAAAAGTTCGTAGAATTACATCTGCTTACACGCAAAATAGGCGCCTTGACGTCGAGTTGCGGACACTAGCCCGTTACACCAAGTACCAAGTACATCTGCTTGCCAAGTTGTATTGAAATCGGTTACTGGAAAGTGCGCAAAACCGGATTCATCCCCTAGTTTGCGACCCTTAGTGGTAGAATATTTTCTTTAAATTTAAATGTGACCAATATATGAGGTGCCTTCTTTCCAACAAATAAAGAATCATCAAAATCGGTTCACAAATGAGTTAACGCGTAACATACATACAAAAAAATACTATCGAACCTCCTTTTTGAGGTCGGTTTAACATGATTTTTTCAAGTGTAAAATTATTTTACCTATTTAAGTGATCATTTTACTTTGAGTGCTGCAGCACTACTAATTTTCACACAATATCTAGTTTGCAAAAGTGGCGGGACTGTGGTATGCACGAAAATTAGTAGTGGCGCTGCTGCAGCGCCACAAGGGCGCCACTGCAGCGCGTCTGTAAGCGTCTAATTTAAGGCGCTTTAATTGCCGCAGATAAGAATGAAGCCACTATTAGTAAGCATAGCAAACTAAATTAGTGTAACGGAGAAATAAAAAAACTGATCGCGCGTCTTCTGGCGAATACTTGCGCAGTTTCGGATTGTATCTAGTTTGTAAGCACTCACTTGTACATTTTAAGCGTTCACATGCCCAGCAGTGGAATCTAGTACTTTAGAAACTTGTGGGTGTGTGCACAACTTACGAAAGTAATGGATAATATACAAGGCAAATATAAATTCATTGTTATACATAGATTTGTATTTATACAGTTTTGCATTTACAAATAAATACATAGGGTCGTATTCTAGAACTCTACTCAATGCTCAAGTCAGGATTGCACTGGAAATACGACCCTAATGGCAAGGACTTGTGTATGATTTTCAGTGCTCACTCCAATACTCAAGTCCTGACTTGAGTATTGAGTAGAGTTCTGGAATACGACTCTGTGCCGTTCACAGACCTCATAACGACAGTGCTGCCATCTGCCAACACTGTTTCTGCCACTTCGTTTTATAAGGTCTTTAGATGGCGCTCAAAAAATCCCATCTCATGTCAATCATCACTTAATACCCAACGTTAATTTACCAACCGAAAATTCTGACTCGAGACCATTACAAACTCAGATTGTTTTCAACTATTTAATGAATAACCTATTAAGTAGTCATCCCTGTGTAAGTATGTATATAAATCAATTTACACCTATTTTAGTTGTACAAGTCTTTTAGAAATATATATAAATTGATCACACAGTAACTGTAAATACTTACAGTAATCGTAAGTACGAAAATTTCGCTTGTTGCCCGTGGACCTCCTGACAGGTTCACCACGGTGGACCACGACCAATTATTTCTTCCCGTAGTTCACTTACGCCCATTTGGGTGGACCATGGGCGTTTAATTCTTCCCGTAGCTCACCTATATTCACCTAGGGATTTTTCTTTTCTCATGAGTCACGTTGTTATTAAAATCCATAAATGTATGCAGCGCTCCCCGAAATTCTACCTCTATTAACAAAGGTAAGTGTCTATTATTGACAAAATACGTAATATAATTATATAAACGATTTATGTCGTAGTTGTAAATAACTTAACTATTATTATATGTGTGCAGGAATTAAATATAAACGAGCAACTCAACGTCTCGGCTCCGTATGTCATAATAGATAGAAAGCACTGTTTGTAAACCTTTGTTTTCAAACTTTGCGGTATGGGTGACGAGAAGACTCGACGTAATTTACCAAACGCTGCCCAGCCAAGCTGAATCCTCCTCTTGGCTTCCCTTTCGAAGTTGTTTCTGCCCAATTGCAAAATTTGGCCAAGGTAAATGTATTCAGAAACAACTTCAAGAAGGTGGCCATTCCGTGGCAAGGCGGATACTAGGGTGTCCAGCATTGGATGTAGCTCCTTCAGCGACTCCGCCATTAGGACTATGTCATCTGCGAATCGCAAGTGTGAGATGTATTCGCCGTTTATGTTTATGCCCGTCCTTTTCCAGTCCAGCGTCATAAACATGTCTTCCAATATCATAACATCCCCCTGTCTAATTCCTCCGCGTAATTGGTATTGCCATTTTACAAAATATTGCTGTCGCCTAATATAACTACGTTTGTGTGACCTATTCGTTCTTCCCCAATATTACCATTTATAATGCAATTTTCATTTAGTAGCGGCAGGTCAACATTTAATATTTGAACTATGTACTATTCGTATCGCAAACATGAGAGTCGAATTTTATTAATAATTATTTAAATTCAAATACGAATGCAAGTTAAAAGTGACTAGATATCTTTCGCAACACAACTATGATGAGACTGAAAATCTGCTTAAAATCGCACACACACTCACACGTACGCACGCACATACACTCTCTCTTTCTCTCACACAACACTCACTCACTAAACACACACACACACACACATTTCTTTTAGTTATTATTTAGTATAAATTATATATTTCCTCAATACTCTTATAGTCAATACCACTAACATGACATCCTAGGGGTTGGGTGCCTGGAGACCCATATTACAAGCTCTGCTTCGTTTGGGCTCCAGTTTCCCACAATACAATACTCTAAGCGTATATGTAATAATATGTTCTCTACTGTATTGTTACCTTGTTTTGCGTTGTGGAGATAAATAAAGATATTATTATTATTAAATCATGCCGTGCTATTGACACTGTACAACTTGTGTAAACCATACGTTACCAATTGACCAATTTATACTTTGTTTTAATTTTATTAATGCCATTGTTGCTGAGCACAAAAATGTCATCATGTCGAATGATAAATAAAACTGTTTACTGGAGAT